TACATTTTTTTTTTTAACTATATTAGTTTGAAGCTTCAGAGTCTTAGAATCTGAAATTGAGGAAAACTGTATGGAACAAAGTTTGTTTTTTGACCCAGCTTTGAGCTCCATGCTCCTTCCTCTTTATTTGCGTTTCTTCTAAATTAGTCTACTTTTCTAGAATTCTCTTTTCTGTTTTGTGACTTTTCTCCTTAAAGGACTCAAGTAGTTCTTGGCTGTTTTACAGTCTTTACTAAGGATGTAATACCCCTGGGATCAGTAGGACCCCACACAGAATTCTTGTTAGTATAATCTGAGATAATTGTTTGGCTTTTTTTGGGTTTCTTTGTTGGTTGTTTGGTTTTTTTCATGGTCGCTGGAAAACATACCCTTTTTTGTTTCCTTTGCTGAGAATTCAAGGATATGAGGACATAAATTCATGTAATGATTGTGAGTTGTATTGCTACCGCTTTTATGGATGGAATATGATATTGCCTATGAAAATTAAAAGGATGTATTTATCTTTTAATCCAATAGTGGTACTTCAGAGACTTTTTAAAAAGAAAAGTACTGATGTGATGTGTATACATCTGCACACACACAGACATTTACAATGTCTTTGGTGGCAAAAACTGGAATAACTTTAGTGTCCATTAGTGTAAGGAAGGTAGGATGTCCTGACATCTATATACCCATGGGATATTATACAACATTTTCAAAGAAGTGAGTTAGAGTTCACTGCATTACCTTGGAGAAATATTCATGATATATTGTTAAGTGGAAAAAGCAAGTAGAACAGTACTGTTTATAATATGACCTCATTTTTGTTTTCAGGTTTTATGAGAATGAAGGTTTGAAAGTACAGCTACTAAGCTACTATTATAACTAACATTGATATTCACAGATGTATAAATTAATGAGATGTCATCTTTTAGAGTTTCAGCATTTTTTTCCCTAATGATAGAGGGTACTTACTGTGTAGGAGGCAATTATAAATTAATACAAAAAACTGTTTAGAAAGCAGTTATAAAGTTGATTTTTCACAATAGGTTTGGTCCCAAAAATTACAGTGGCTTAAACAAGGTGGAAATATATTTCTTTATGATATAAAAGCCTCAGTAGGTAGTCCAGGCCTGGTATGGTGTCCTCAGTGTTGAGAACTGAAGTTCTTTAATTTTTCTGATCTTTTTGTGTATGAATTTGACCTCATGCCTCAATATGTCAGCATCCCCACTTAAGACTACAGGATAGAGGATCATGTCAATGAGGAAGGTGCTACAGAGGGCACACATGGTCTTCTGAGGAAGGAAGGTGCTTTGACGTTGCTGTGCAGCATTGTGTCAGAAAACCCATTGGCCAGAATTCAGTCATATGAAACTTTGACAAAGAAAAAAATTTTTTCTGCAACAAGGGAGAACAGATATTTGTCGACAGTTTTTCCTTGCTCTACCTTATTTATTAACACGTTAAGCACCAAGCCTGTTTTGTCTTCCTTTCCTTTTAGAACGCGATATCCGATTTCACCGATATGCTTTCTCTTCAGTCAGTTGTCTGTGGTTCGTGTTCCAGTGCAGTTTAAAAATTTTTCTTTACCCGTAACAGTGACAATGCCAGTAGAAGAAACGTGTGAAAGCAATTTAAGTGAAATTATTTTCCTAATAAAAGAATATAATTTTTTAAATTGTGTATCGTCAGTCACCAGTGACTGACGCGGCCCGAACGGAAAGTATAGTGTCAGTCACTGGTGACTGACATGGCGCTTAACGTGTTAAGGCATTTAAAACGTTTGTGTTCTTTGACTTGAAATTTATCCTAAATAAATATAAAATTGTGGATAAAGGTTTACAAAATGGAACAAATAGCAATTTTTAATGAAATGGATTTGAGTAGATAAATATGTTTGTGTTAAATGAAAGAAGCAGGGTACATTACATTCTTAACAATGGATTACTCAAAATTTATGAGATTATAGTGGAAAAATTTCCTTTTCTTATACCGTTACATATTTCCCACAATTTTTACAAAATTACCCAACCCTTCAGTATTCCTTTTAGAGAGAATCTGTGGGGAGTAAATCTTGTGTCCTTGGAGTGAAAATGTTTTTTAGTTCACTTGGCTATTTACTTAGTAGCTAGCTGTCTTGACAAGAGTAGGGCTTGAAATACTTGAAAAAGTTTTAGTGACAAAGCTGGTTATGGAGAAGGAACTGAAAGTGGAGGTGGATGGAGGAATATGGAATGGTTGAATTCAGATTGTAGTTTTATAGGTGTTCAGATGCACACCTCCATCGTACACATCCAGAATCTTTTAGGAGTACAAAGGTAAGCCTTAAAATTTTGTGTTTTTTTTTTTTCTCTTCTTCCCCAGTGCACTTTTACTGTCTAACACACTTATAAAGCCAGAGCATGATGAGTGGGGAGAAAGCCACAATACAAACAGACTTGTATGACTTACATAGGGAAACTGACTAATGGAATGCATAGAGCAGATGTTCAAAATAGCATGTTATTCTCAGAGGGATGGGAGGGGATATTGGAAACTTGATATAACAGCAAGCAAGTTTGGAGAGGATTCTATTAGAGATATTTGGATGAAACGTTACTGAAATTAAGAATTCAATGGATGGGTTGAATAAAAGAATTTAAACATGGGAAATGAGCTAGTAAGCTGGAAAGGCAAGTCAAAGAACTCCCCTAGAATTCATCAACAAGGGATTAAAACGATGGAGAGAATGGGGGAAATGTAAAAAAATATGTATACATTTATGTATATTTATATAATATGTATATAGAGAGAATGTACTTTAGAAGTAGTAGCATAGCCGTTTAATAAGAGTCTTCAAAGAAGAGAATATATACATAGGGAGGAAAGAATTTTTTAAAAATAATGAACCAGAACTTCTTGGTGTTAACCTCTGGCTAGTGTGCCAAGAAGGATAAATAAGGAAAAATAATATAAACGAAAAAAGTTTAAAACCTCAACTATGCACATTATTGTGCGATTTGAAAACATCTAAAAGAACATACTGAAAGTTTCTGGAGAGAAAAAAGAGAATCACCTTAAAGTGAACATGAACTTGACTGCAGTGTACAAATGGATTTCACTGAGCCATTGTACAGCCAGAAGAGATACGAGAAAATCATTAAGGAATCACCTACATTAAGAAAATTGGCTGCAACCCCGACACAGTAGCATTTATGCCAATTTCTGGTTGGAATGGTGACAACATACTGCAGCCAAAGGCTAATACTAACATGGTTGGTTTAAGGGATGGGAAGTCATGGCAATGGTTGAATCTCTGGATTGCATCCTGCCACCAACTTGTCCAACTGGTAAGCCCTTGTGCTTGCTTCTCCAGGATGTCAACAGAATTGGTGGTATTGGTACTGCCCCATGTGGGCCAGGAACTGGTGTTCTCAGACCTGGCATGGTGGTCACGTTTGCATTAGTCACTTTTACAACGGAAATAAAGTTTTGAAATGCACCATGAAGCTTGGAGTGAAGCTCTTCCTAGGGACAGTGTGGGCTTCAGTGTCAAAAATGTGTCTGTCAAAGATGCTTGTGGTGGTAACATGGCTGGTGACAGCAAAAATAACCCACCAGTGGAAGCAGGTAGCTTCATGGCTCAAGTGATTATCCTGAGCCATCCAGGCCGAATCAGAGCTGGCTATGCAACTGTGCTGAATTGCTACACAGCCGATGTTGCTTGCAAATTTGCTGAGCTGAAGAAGATAGGTTGTCATTCTGAGGTAGAGGTGGAAGATTGCCCCAAATTCTTACTGATGATGCTGCCATTGTTGATATGGTTCCTGGTGAGCCCATGTGTGTTGAGAGCTTCTTTGACTATCCTTCTCTGGGAGGTTTTGCTGTTCATGACATGAGATGGAGAGTTGGTGTAAGTGTAATTAAAGCAGTAGACAAGAAGGCAGCTGTAGCTGGCAAGGTCACTGAGTCTGTCCAGAAAGCCCAGAAGGCTAAATGAATATTATCCCCAATACCTTCCATCCTGTTTTAATCAGTGGTGGAAGAATGATCTCAGAACTGTTTGTGAGTTCAATAGTAAAAAAGACTGGTTAATGAGACAATGCATCATAAAACCTTGAAGGAAAGGAGAATGTTTTGTGGAGCATTTGTTTTTGTGTGTGTGGCAATTTTAAGTTAGTTTTTAAATCAGTACTTCTTAATGGAAACAACCAAAAATCTGTCACAATATTTTAAGGCCCATAAAAGCAAAGTTTAATGAGAAGAGAAAAAAAAATAGTGAGGATATAATTATAGGTTCAGTTATTTTCCATCAATACTTTAAAGATAGTGCTTTTTTTTCTTAGTGTATATTTACTTATTGTATGATTTATTGTGTGACATATTATGAGTCTGATGTCAGTCTCATTCTTTTTTTGAAAGTAATCTTTATTATGTTTTCTTTATATTTTTATATTTTAAGATTTTTATTAGGTGTAAATTAATGTTTGCTGAGTTTGTTCATTTCCATGACCATGTTGGACTTCATCAATTTTTTGATGATTTTGTGTTCTCATCTGCAGAGACTTTTCCTACGTTCATCTGCAGTAGAAGAGAGATAGCCAGCTACCAGATACCCTAGTCTCATAGTGGCAGGGTATTTTGTGATCACCATTTTGGCTTCCAGTTTGCCTCTGTCTATTAATATGCCTCACAGCCTGTGGTCTCTTTTCTTATATCTGTTCTGTAGTTTTGGTGTGGATATAGGAGAGTTCAGTGTTAGGCTTAGTCTATTATTATGAATCCTTATGTCTGTATCACTTAATCAGAAAAAGTTTTTATAACTTATCAATCAGCAAGTGAATTTCAGCATATCACAAACCTGTGATTTAATTTGACATAATGTTAAAATATTTGAGCTGATACTATAAATGTAGTTCACTTATGTAATATGTTAAAATTTAAATTGATTTTTTATAATTTATAAATACATAACTTTTAAAGAAAAAGTGTGCTCTTTAAGCACACCAAAAATGAATTTAATTTACTTTTTTTTTCAGAATCATACTCATGAGCACTTTCTGGATCTTGGAGAATCCAAAAAGCAGCAGGCAAATCAACATAGTTATCGTACGAGATCTGCATTGGAAGAGACTCCTAGACCTTTGGAAGAGATAGAAAATGGCAGTAGTTCTTCAGATGTAAGATCTCAGCCCATATATAGATTTCTGTCTCCATTTTTACTTATCTTTTAATATGACTTTCATCTTCACTTTTATTGATATATTTATAGATATAGCTCAAACTGGTATTTCTAGGTTCTTACGATGTTAGTGATAGATAGCTTCCATTTGCTGAAGATCTATTATGTGTGTTCTAGGCATGGCACACATATTCATAACCTCAAATACACAAGACAAATGCGTATGAATTATTCCCATTTTAAACATATGAAGGATCTGAGGTTCTAAGATGTTTAGCTTACATATTTACCTAACTATTAAATGGTAGAGAAGGGATTAAACCCAGGTTCCCTTCACTCTAAAGCCAAGCTTTTAATTCGTACCATGAAGCACTAGTCTGTAGCTATCATAACTAACCAATAGGCATTTAGTAATTTGGAGTAGTTTTTAATGTCTGTACCACTTTAGCTAGCTTTCTCAATGTAATTTAAAAAATATTCCTTATGTACAATTATTTCCATAAATATCATTGTTATACTTAGTTAAATATTCTTTCAGCAAAGGCATTCCATTTGTAATCAGATCTTATTCAAGGCTTGTAACCATATCCCTCCCCCTCACGCATTCTGTCACCCCCCTTGGTCACAGTTAGATCTAAGACTCTGATCTTAGATACTAACTGCATTTTTGAAACCATATTGTGTTTTGCAATGTTAGACATATATGGGAATTCTCTGAGTATATTCTTGTGGATAGGGTGGTATTAACTCAAACTGAGAGTATTCTAATTATAATTTAAAAGTTAGTCTCCAGTGACTTTAGCTCCTAATATGGTCAGATCAAAATGATATGTCGCATCTGGTAAAAAGACCAAATATACTAATTACATAAACTTGACACATGACAATTTAGATATACATACAAGACATAAAATATATGTGGGCTAATTATTTGCCTTATAAAATGTTTCTTTTTGAGAGATTTATAGTATTTTAATAAGTTTCTATGAAGTATTTTAAATATGATTGAGCTTGTTAGAAACTTAACGTATTTTCAGGTACATCTGTTAAATAAAAATGTACTAAATGCTTCATTTGTCTTCATATTAATCAGTTTATACTTTAACATCCTTTTAGAGGAGTACATGAGACCAGAATGTGACTTGGACACAATATATTGATTAACGGAAAGAATCCTAGTTTGTTTTGTTTTTTTGTTTTTTGTTTTTTTTGTTGTTATTGTTTTGTTTTGGGTTTAAATATTATGAAAATTTTGTATTTAAAATGTAGAAGTATGTTTTTTTCCTCCCTCTTTAAAAAGTAATATACTAAGGGTAGGAGTAATCAGATCATTTGTTTAGATTTTTTTCTGAAAAGTTTCAGTAAATAGAGATTAAATTTGCTAAATAAAATTTACTGTTGGATTTTGATCTTTTCATAGTTGCTTAGTTTTAAAAACTATGGAATAATTAAGTAATAAACATTCTTCATTAAGACATCAAAAATTAAAAATTTTTTTCTCCAAATATGCTATTTTATTTAATTAGTAAAGGAATACATTGCATTATCCTCTTCAAAATGATCTGAATGTGCCTAGTAAGTAATAACACTGAACCAGTCTCGTGGAGAGTGGTCTAAGCTTTGGAGTAAAATGACGTGAGTTCAAATTAGGGTTAGTTGCTTATTAATTTTGCTGCCTTGGGTACATTTCTTAACCTTTTTAAGCTTTAGTTTCTTTTATTTAAATAACTACTTCCTATCATTAGCAGTGTTTTGTCCATATCGAATAGGATGATACATACAAAGTGCTTAGAGTAGTTTCTGACATTTAGTAAAGCTTATTTAATGTGAGCTGCTATTTTTATTGGAGCATAAAGTTTATTCGAGAAAGGGAAAGGCTGTGTAAGATTTTGTGACCAAAAATCCCAACTTTTATAAAGAAAATGGTTTCACAGGAATATCTTACATTGACCAGTATTTACTAAAGAGAAACAGTGTGTTTGGGTAGTTTTTAATCCTCTGCCATTTAGATAAAATAATACTAGGGTTGGAGTATCCTGTTTTTTGGTATGATAAAGCTCTTTTAATAAGAAAACATAAGCGTTCCAATTTTAAGCTTCCTAAAGCATTTATAGAAAAAGAAAGCTTACATTTTTAAAAAGGTCTAAGAAGTAAAAATTGATTTGCATTAACTATGGAATTTGATATCATCCAATCTAGAAGTTACGTTGGCTTTTAAAAAACAAACAATGTATTATTCATCCAAGAGCTTGTACTGAATCCAATAATTATAAGTATTATATCTTTGGATAAATTTAATAATTTGGATGGATTTAATAATTATTATTAAATGTATTTAATAATTTTTTGTATAAAAATATAAGGCCTGTGTTTTGTAAGTAGTTTAAATCAGATTTAAATTTAAATATAATAATATGATGGGTACTGTTAGATATTACGGATATTTTCTATAGTCATAGAATGTTATTTTGTAAAATAGCAAAATAAAATATGTATTCAATATCAGCAAAATAAAATGTGTATTCAATATCTCTTAGGAAGGTGAAGTTGTTGCTGTCAGTGGTGGAACCTCTGAAGAAGAAGAGAGAGCATGGCACAGTGATGGCAGTTCTAGGTAATTTAATGAATTTTTATTTCTCCAAATGTAATATAAACTTTTAGTTGTCCAAAATCTAGGAGATTTTCTTTCTGACATGTTTTCTTTAGTAGAAAAAAATTTGGTAATTGCAACTATATCTGCAAAATAATGCTTTTAACTTTATTTTCCTAGTTGATATTTTATCTTTTGAATGCTATTATTTTTAATGCTGAACCACAAATTAATTTTATTACTGGTTTTGAGAAATATTTGAGCATTAAATTATGTAATAAAATCTTGTACAATTAACTGTCTTATACAGTGGAATATGTTGAATGCTAATAATTTTTTTTTTCCAGCAATGAGGATAACCTTTTTCTTTTTCCTGTTACCCCATGTAAGTGAGGAGCCCCACAACTCCTTATACTGGCAATTCATGTTATTACAGGGCTGATATTCTTGGCTGACCTTGTAAGATCTTAGTAGCAAGGAGTATATATAGGTAATTATGTTTAGCCCCTTAACTAATTCCCTGGCAGCAATAGCTCTTAAAATAAAATTGCCAGAGAAACTAAGAGGTGGAGTCTAAGAATTCCTTATAACAGTGTTAAAATCGAGAACTTTCCTATTTCCACAACAGTTATGCCCAGTAATGAATGATATGAAAATGCCCAGGGTTATGTCTGGTAGTGTTCTGCATTTGAAACAGGGCAGCGAAAGAAATACTTTCTTGTGGTTTCAGCAGTTGGGGGCAATTGTTTTAAGAACATAAGCTCTTGGGTTTGTAGTTAAATTTATGCTGGCAGCAGATTTTCTGTAAGAGCTGAGTGCTCCAGAGAGTAGGAACTGTATTTGGCATGTGCCATTCACAGTGACCATGATTGAGGTAAGTGTAAATAAATGCTCATAAGTTGAGGACAGCCTAGTCATGGATAGATGTTTGCTCTGCAGATACTTTCCCATGCATCTAGAACAGTGTCTGAAAATATTTTTTTTATTTAAGTTCTTCAAAATCATTTTAAATTTTAAAAATGGAGTCATGAAATCATACTAGGAAATCCCTTAATTATTTGGTTCTTATCTGTGATGATTATTCTTGGGGAGATGTAGGTTAATGCCTATAAAGGACATTTGGACCGGGGGAAGAGGTGGTGGGAATAGAATAAAACTCCAGGAAAATTTCTCCTTTTAGGACTTATCAGGAATATTTGGAGGGGAGTGAGGTCATGATGTCACTAAATCTAAGTAATTATTTTAGCATAGTATATTTTAGATTTAAGGCGTTTATATTTGTAAAACTATAAAATCAAGTAATATTATGTATGAAAATTAAAACAGAAGATAACTGGATTTTTTATTTTGCAACAACATCAGTTAAGTAAAACTTAGGTCTGTTGAAGGTAACTGAAAAATGGCAAACATGATTGTCAGTGATAACATAAAATAATAAGGCCTGTATTTTTCTGAATCATGGCATGGTTTGAAGCATAAGATATACCTAAGGTGTATGTAGATGCTAAATGAAGTTTACAAGCACAGCCTCTCCACTGAGCAGGAATACTTCTAACCCTGCCAGTTCAACATCCAGCTACCACAAGGACACTGGTCCTCTACCATGAGAGTTAAACCCTGTCAAGAGCTTCCACCTCTCTTTATACCTCCTCCTCAATGTTGATACCTCCTGTGCTGTCCAGATCTACCTTTTTGCTGTTGCTAGAACTGAGGAAGGTGACTCTCTGCTCCTTATTTTTATATGCCCCACAATATTTTGAAAATATGCAACACTCAGAAATCAATTTTTTGTTAAAATCATAGAAGGCAGTTAAGTTCATTATTTCAATTAAAGCTATGCCATTATTTATCTTCTTTTTTTTTTGAGATATTTAAGTCAAGCCTATAAAATTTTAAGAAACTGAATGATGATTGAGTTGAAAGTTAGGGAAATATTTTTAGTTCATTTAGTATGTACCATTCTGTCATTCCTCTTTGTTACAGTCTTTCTTTACAGTTGTATAAAACAAAGTTTTAAAATATATCTTGTGTGTATAATTTTTAAATCCCTTTTTCTTTTCTAGTGACTACTCCAGTGATTATTCTGACTGGACAGCAGACGCAGGAATTAATCTGCAGCCACCAAAGAAGATTCCTAAGCATAAAACCAAGAAAGCAGAAAGCAGTTCAGATGAAGAAGAATCTGAAAAACAGAAGCAAAAACAGATTAAAAAGGAAAGGAAAAAAGTAAATGAAGAAAAAGATGGACCAATCTCACCAAAGAAAAAGAAGCCCAAAGAAAGAAAGCAAAAGGTTGATTTTTTTTTTTTTTAAGATTTTTATTGGGGAATTGGGGGGGGCGGGATGGGAACATTGCTGGGGAATTGGGGGAAGGGGAACAGACAAGTTGCTGTCCTTTTGTTCTTCAGTCTAGTTGTGGAGGACGTTGCTTCACTGGCCCAAGTTGGCACCATCATTGCGCTCTTCCCGGGCGAGGCACATCAGTCGCCGGCTTCTGGACGGCCGCTCACTGCGGCTGCTGGCTACACACGGTAGCCCATGGCAACCCACTGCCACAGGGGCTGCAGCCTCCGCCATTGCCGGCGACTCACGGCAGCCCAGCTCCAGGTTGAGCTGTTGTTCAGCATCTTAGCTGTGGAGGGCAGTGTCACTGGCCCTCATATGTGGGATCCGAACCGGGGCCCTCTGGCGTCCCAAGCCAGTTCTTAACCAATGTGCCACTCGGCCGGCCCAAAAGGTTGATTTTTTAAAATATAAACTAATGTTTTCTATGAAAATAAAGGACACATTTTAAAGTGCAGCTGATGAACACTTAAACATATATCTTTGAGGAGTACCAGCAAGTAGTAAATAGGAAAAATTCAGAAGTTCACAGTAGTAAAATAGAATAGCGCAGGTCCTCGAATGTTTCGTTCAACATCCTCTTGATGTAATGTTGATGAGATGCTGTAGGAATTTAACTTTTATTTTTATTAGCATATGATAAATTGGTTTTGTTATATGTCGTTTCAACTTTATTGTAAGTTGAAGAACCTATTGACTAAGTGAGTATTTGTTGTATACCAAAATATAGGTTATTTCTTTAGCATGTGAGAGTATTTACTAGTAGAATTTTATTCTAAATATTGAGTGTTCAGTCTTATAATATGAGCATATTTTTCTTGACAGCCCAGTGATATTTATTCATTTATGTATGTAAAAAAAAAATTCTGCAAAACATACAGTTTATTAGTCTTTTAATTGCCTTTACCTTTTAACCATCCTTATTGATATTCCTGAAAATAAATGGAAAGCATGCTGGAACATCACCTGGAATAAGAACGGCCTAAGTTGTCATAGTTGACCACAAGACAAATAAGAATCTAAAGTAGGATACTACTCTAGTAATAAGCCTTTATTTATTTATACATCATGTGAGCCATAATTAGACGATCCTTATGTCAGTAGGAGTTAGTCTTGATTTGATTACTATATCTTTAGTCTGTGGATAATTTGAGACAGATCAGAGAAGATAAATGTTAAGAAAATAAGATCTATCAGCTCTCGAGTTGGAACTCTTGAAAACTAAGAGCTGTTTAATTTTTGCTGTAAAGTAAATGAAAACTAAGGGACATGTTTTCTGTTCCTCAGAAGATGATAAATGAGAAGTATATTTGGTTCAACAAAAAGGAAGTTGTTTTTTTTTAAACCTCTGGCATTCTTACAGTTAAATATAAACTGTCATTTGTGAAACTAAATATAAATACAAGTGAGTCTTATAGGGTCTTTGTCCCCCAGAGAGCTTCGAAAATTTTAAGAATACTTTTGTCATTGTGCTTATTTTATTTAAACTAATTGAGCTTTTGTTAGTTTAAGCTTTATAATTATGAATTACTTTAATTTGGATTCCACAGCCTACTATTCTTCTTGTCACCTTTATTTTTTTCTGAGGAGGATTTACCAAAGAGAATACCACACATTTGCCCATAGTTTTTCTCTTCTGCCTTGTCAGTGATGATAAATGTAGGCGGACCCATTGTTTTATGTGGTAGATTGGTTAAAGAAAACCGATTTAGTCATGTACCTAACTTAAAGTGAACACTTCTTTTTCATCTCCAGACAATTTTGATGAACTTTTGAGGTTTGCAGTGTTATATCACTATGAGAACATAATTCTTTTGTCCCAAAAATGAAGTTTACTTCATGTTGTTCCCCTTGATTTGATAATCATCCATAAACTAATACCTTGGGCTCCTTCATGCAGTACCATGATTGGATCCACTGCTACTGTTTGGCAATTTCAATTTCACTGTTTTACTTGAAGTATTGTAATAGGATCTGTCTGCCACTAAATGTATGGGGGACAAATTTTAAATATCATAAGGTTAGGATATCATAGACTATTTATTCCCTTTAATTTGGATTTTGTTCACATGGTTCGGTGTTAGCCTACCAGTGGATCCAACAGTGGATAAAATTGTTTTTATTCCTTAGTCTTCCTAGCTCAAATAAACACAATAATATTTCCCTTCTTGTGCATAGAGTTGTAGACCTGGAATGTAACTGAGAGATCTTTAAGTAATTAATATTTATTGCATGTATGAAAACATGAAAATATTTTCCATATGACTAATTGTGTTTGAATTAATCAAGCAAAACACTGTAAGGCAGGTATAGAAAATGCTTATTAGAAAATAGAATTCTCAAAGATGCAGTAAGACATCTCAGATGGTATCTCATATATACCCCTTATGCTGTTAGGAGCTTTGGAAACCAGATCAATAAATTTTACAGTGCTTACTGCTTATAAAGTAATACAGTGGATAAAAAGAAGTGTAAGACATACTACTTATTCTATTATATAAACAATGTGTGTCTAAATTGCTTGAACCTCACAAGATATAAATAAAAGAAATATCACATGATCTACTATGTTTAGTTGCCAGATTAATTTTAAAGATAATAAATCAGGAATTAAATGGGGACATCTTACCTTACAATTCCAGGTAAGGCTTCCAGAAGAAATAAGATTTGAGGCCTAGAAGAATTTCTATGGATAGAAACTAATTACCTGTATCTCCAAAATTAAAAAAGAAAAACACATCTCAAATCATGAGGGTGGAAATTTTGAGGAATATTTAATGCTTTTTATCCTCTAAGTGGTTTTAAGTACTAAGTAACAGAAATCTACTTTAACCAAAAATTCTAGGTTCCCTAAAAATTACTGGGGAATAAGATTTATCATAATGATTCTTGGCTATACCATAGTGTTACAGTTATAAAGATGATTATTCCTATTTAATATCCAACTTACCTGGTCATGTAAGAATTGTTAGCTATCCCAATCAATAGAATTTTTCTTATGGGGAGAAATACTTGCCTAGTACAATTAATAGTCCATATTGAGGCTGGAGTTAACAACTTTCAGACTTTTTCTAGTTATTTTCTTTTCAAAACACATTATAACTCAAAATCTCAATATGTAAAACTGATAAAAATCTATTGATCTAACTCTGAGATACTCAGTACATAATAACTGGATAAAATAACTGTTCAGATATCATTTGACTTAACATCTCAAATCTTACACATATAAAACTTACTTTCTAAGCTTTCTTCTCTAACCTGCTCCACTCTTATCTTTCTCATGTCAACAATAACAACTCTTAGTTGTTTACATCAAAACCCTGGTGTTACCCTTAATTCCTCTTTTTCTCTCTTAGTATATATCCATCTATCAGGGAATTATCCTAGCTCTCCTAAATGTCTTTAGCACTTGATTGTTTTCACCACTTTTGCTGTCACACTAGTGTGAGCCACCATGAACTCTCACTTGTATTACTGCAGTAGTCTTTCATCTGTCTTCTTGCTTCTTCACTTTTTCCCCTAGTGTCTATTCTCTAAAGCAGGGATTGACAAACGTTCTCTGTAGAGGGCCAACTACTCTGCCATTGTAGCCTGAAAGCAGCCATAGACAAAATAAATTAATGGGTATGGGTGTATTCCAATAAAATTTGATTTATAAAAGCAGATGGCAGGCTAGGCTTGGACTTTGGGCCATAATTTGCAAATCCCTGCTCAGATGCATCCAGGGTGGTCCTTTTAAAATGTAAGTCAGATCCTGTCACTCCTCTGCCAACAATTCTATAGATCCATGTCACATGTAGTATATGCCAAAGTCCTTTTCCCTTCCCTTAGCCTCTAAAAAGAGAGTGCTTCTGATGTGTTTGTGAAACAGCAAGGTGTGGTTACTGAAGAGGGAAATTAATATTGAGTAGCAACTATAACAGTACCTGCTGAAGGTAGTGTTCTGTTATATCCCATTATCACATTTCTTATTTTAGGGAACAGGCATTAACTCAGTGATAATTACCTTCTTTAAAAAAAAACAAAAACACACACAAGAGAATAAAATTTAGAAGTCTTATGTATAAATACTGAACCAAAACATCTTTAATCAGGTGGGTGAAGTTTCTGTGCTTATAAATAATAATAGGTTTCAAAGACACTTAGAAAGTCCATTTTTCCTAAGTCTAAAGTAGCTATATCCAGACCACTATGGCCACTTGTGGGTGATAAGTAAAGGGAAAGAACGTTTTCTTAGAGGCCTAGTTTTATATTTACCCATGAAAATTAAAAAGTAAGTGACATGGCTTGACAACATTTTGTTTGGCAAAAATCTGAAGAAAAAATTTTTTGTTAGAAGGTAATTGTGAGGCAAGAATGTGTAATGGCTACTTTTAAAAGGGAATTGGAATATTCTTGGGCTATATAAAAGTATAATGCCCAGCCATGGAAACAGCCTTCTGTATCTTGCACTACTCAGCCCATATAAGAATGTCTTATATAGTCTTTAATAACACGCTGTGTAGGATTTAAAAAACAAACAAAAAACCCCATTCATTCCACTATACCTTGGTCTGTTACATGGAATGTCTATAAAACTGATAGGCTACAGGTTACAAGAGCTTATGCTTTGGTAGTTATGGGAATATCTTGTCACTTAATTTTGTTGTGAATGTTGTCTGGAGGGGTTTGGCTTATCTAGTTCTTTTTTTATGCAGTGATTTGGAGAGATCAAATAAGTTTTGCCACTGCTCCCCTTTTTGCATAATAGGTTTTTAATACTTAAAGAACACACATTTTTGTACAATAATCTTCCCCTTTTAACTACCTTTATTTAACTACCTTTATTTTGTTTTATTTCATTTTATTTTATGAGCAGGTTGATAGATGAATGCTTTTATGATAATATTACTGTAAATGTTCTAAACTCTTAGAGATTGGCTGTAGGAGAACTAACAGAAAATGGATTGACATTAGAAGAATGGTTACCTTCAACATGGATTACAGATGCTGTTCCCCGAAGATGTCCGTTTGTACCACAGATGGGTGATGAGGTACTGTTAAACTTTTTAATAAATCCCTTTATTTGTTTCAGGTAACTTTAAACATTTTTTTATAGCTCTTGATATAGGACTCTAGAAGATTGCAGCCATTTCATAAAAAGTCTCATTCTAAATATTTGTAACTATGTATGGGAAAAGTACAATTAGGAGGAAAGTGTTAATGATCATCTTTTTTGAGGCTCCTGTAAATATTGCAAATCTAAATATTGTAAGAGAATGGAAATTTCGTTAGTATTTTAAAAACTAGTATGTATTTTTATAAGAGTTTTATTGCCAGTTTTCTTTTTTAAGTTAGAAGATATTAATTTTTCTTAGTGTAAGACTTAAATATATTGCATGTTAAAGAAAAATGAAATTCAGCATTTTATTTTTTAATTTTATTTGATAAGTGTCATTCAAATACTTAAAATGTTCATAATTCTTAGATTTTTAAAATATTCTATTATCTTAGAATAAAAAATATTTCATTTTTAAGAAAATGTGATTGTCCGTCATTTGGACTATGTACTTTGCACTATGAAATGAAAATGTAAGATCTTAGATCAAAATTTCCCAGTCAGGGGTTCATGTCTTCTTCTTTTATGCATAAATGTTAAGAGGCAGGGTGTGTCCAATAGATGAGCAGTATCAAATTAGGAATTAAAACAGGCTTCTTTAGCAAAGCACACTAATTAGCTGTAGAAAGTGGTAGGTGGCAGTTGACGGTAAAAAAAGGAAAACAAACTTTATAATGTAAGAGTAACTCCAAAGAACAGTCTGAAATCATTCCTGTAGATACCTACCCTACTTGCCTAAGAAGTCTTGAAGAACACAGAACATACCACATTGTTGTGATTTAGTAGTGATAGATCCTAACAGACCCTGCAGTATCCGGATGCTTGATTATATTATACTTAATATATTATTTCAAGATGGTCAGAGTGTATAATTGCTTATTGGATAATTTTCTTTCAAAATATTTAAGTTGTCTTTTTAATTGTTGATGCTTAAACAGGCAAGTCTTCATTATTTAGCACCATCCTTCATATGACGTTTCAGACAACTGGAGCGATAATGATATTAATGAATAGAATGAAAGTATGTAGACTAAACAGATGTCTCAAAATGTTACTAAGAACTTAACATTTAAAAAAAATTTTAATAGCATTTTTTAACAAGCTCTACTATTTTTTAGTAGTAGAAAGAATACGTGGTGTCAAACTACTGTGTCCAAATACCACCAGTTCTACAGGATGGTAGGTAGTCAGGAATCACTTAAATTTGACATCGTAAAATGAAGATAAATAGATGCCTTGCTGTTTTTATAAAGATAAAATATATGTAAGAGTACATTTTTCATTTTAAAGTTTTCTGCATATGTACAAACCACTTGCTATGAAAGAGAACAATAAACTAATGACACACCTAGTTACAACTTTATTATGCAACATAGATTAACTTATTTTGAAACCGAAAATAAAATGATGAAACAAAGAAACTGGTCATCTTAATCTCTTAGTTTATTATCAAAGTAGTGTTATTTAGAACACTTTGGTTTTGATTGTGCATTAGAAAAACTTGAGGAAAAGGAGGAAAAAAAACCCAAAATACTAGAATTTCTTTTAGTTCATAGAACATGTAATTATCTCTTTGCAGTTTTAGCTGATACCTTGTATATTGGTTTAAAGGAAAAACATTTAGGTTTGAAAATTGTGACTTTATTTACTTTTTAGGTTTATTATTTCCGACAAGGACATGAAGCATATGTTGAAATGGCCCGGAAAAATAAAATTTATAGTATCAATCCCAAAAAACAGCCATGGCATAAAATGGAACTACGGGTATGGTGTTTATTATTTAATAGCCCCAAAAGTTGTAATTATGGATTATAGAGTAAATTGTATTGAGTATTAATATTTTCACTATACGTAACTGTATCATGAAGATATCTTTTTTAATTGAAGCAAAGCTGGGGAGTAGGGGTGTTTTAACAATCAAACACAAGATTGACTGAATTTATATACTCAGAGTTTATAAGTTGGATACAAAATATAATTGTGAAAATTAGACAATACTGACATCTAAGGTAAACTTGGTATTTGTAAATTTGATAAGTTTTTCTAGATTTATCAGGAATAGTTCAAAATTACTCAGAGGTAAACCTCTAAGTGTTGGAAAACTCTTATTTCAATCAAGTTTTCTTTATTAAAATTGAAATATAACTTGCACAGATCTTAATTATCTTAATTATATACTTCAGTAAATTTTTACATATACATACAGTAATCATGTGGATTAAGACAAATGTAGAAATGTGTTCTTGATTAAGTTTAGCAGTTTTATTTTATTTTGTGAAGATGGTGTCTTATTTTCTTTATCTTCCTCAGGAACAAGAACTGATGAAAATAGTTGGCATAAAGTATGAAGTGGGATTGCCTACCCTTTGCTGCCTTAAACTTGCTTTTCTAGATCCTGATACTGGTAAACTGACTGGTGGATCATTTACCATGAAGTAAGGATTGTTGAAAGAGGCAATGGTTTTTTAGTATTGTAGATTGTTTTTCAAGATTCAGATAAATTTGCACGCCTCTTAGAGATATTTTTAAGTATGAGACCTAATCTGTTTGTTTCTGTTTGTAATTAGATACCATGATATGCCTGATGTTATAGATTTCCTAGTCTTGAGACAACAATTTGACGATGCAAAATACAGGCGGTGGAATATAGGTGGGTAATTTTAGAAGCCGTAGGTGTTCGTTTTTAATTTTTATTTTTCATAATTTAGAGAAGATAATCAGAAATTATCTTGCCATTTGTGGGACTATTAATAGCGAAGCACAACATTATGTCAGGTATTTTTTAAATTTTCTTTCTTTAAGAATGAAAATAATCTAGTCGATGCTGAAATTCTAAACATTTTATTCGTACGTTTGTTCACTGTCTAAGGTTGCTTATAGCTACCTATTTCTTTAGCTGTTCTATGTGTTGACTTAAATTTTTATCCCAAAATATTAACAATTCAAAATTGAAGCAACAGAAGTCTTCCAGTTTAAAATATTTAATAATTTGGACTGGGACTAAAGCTAAACTGACATTTTTCTTTTATTGTTTAACTCTATTATAAACTTTAAAAATTAATATTATGATCAGGACTCAAATTTTAAAATCCTTTCATGTTTCCAGGCATTAAGATGCATTAATTTATGTATGGGTAGATGTGTTGTGCGTTAGTGTATTCTAAAATTTTCAAGTAGGGCTACACTTTGTCATCTTGGAGTGAGTTGAGGTACATACATAGCTTATTTGGTTTTAAAAGCACATTCATTGATACATCAGTGCATCCCTCCTCTAGTGCCATTGGGACACATTGGTATGATGATTTGTCTTTTCTTGATTGGTCTTGGTAAACTTAGAAATTTACATGTGTTCTCTAAAGAGAAAAATTAGGAAAAAGCAAGTTATCAAAATTAGGGTCATGGGAATTACCAGAAAAAAAGTATGTATCATTTCTCTGGAAGCTTCGAAAGATGTGTTTCATCAAAAATAAGGGAGTAAACCAATAAAGACAAAAATATGAATGCCCCTCCCCCCACCCATCGAAGACGGAATTTTTTCAGAACAGGAATGAGCAGAAAGGAATTCCCAAATATCAGTTAACAGAAGTCTCAATATTGCATCTGTCTAACAAGCCTATAAAACAACCAGTCTAGAAGATATTGTCCCCCGATAGTGAAGTGTTCAGGGAAAAAAAACTGGAACTGATAATTATCTAACATGTTTTGCCTTTTGTGGGAAATTATATTGAAGAGTGTTTTATTGTTTGAGCTGTTAGAGAATGTGGGAACACTTAATCATAAATGCAGGGAAAACTAACCATAAGAAAACCAATTCTACAAAGTTATACAAGAAAGTAAGTGTATGCACTTGGCTCCACAGCAAACAATATTTTCATAGTCATGATAAAGAAAAACAATACAGATTAAATGAAATAAACATACCTTTTATATACAATTGTGTAGATAGGGGTCAGTACTTACTGTCTAAAATTGATGACTGAAAAAATAATTCTGTACTCATTTAGAACTCTAAATTTCAAGAAGAAATAGTTAAAGAGTTAAAAGTTTTTCTTGATTTTGGCTACAAATCTTTGTACATTTGATTTTTAAAAATTATTTGCATGTGTTACTTGATACGATAACTTGTTTTTTTAAGGGCATGCATCTGCTAATAAATTGCAGAAAAAATATTAGCAGTTAGAGTCAAGGAATATTCTTGAAATGAGGTGATAACAACCTAAGCAAAGAAATGTGGCAAGCATAGAGAAATTAAAGAGATATTTCAAATGGATGTACATAAAATTTTTTCACTTGAATCTTAGTGTTTTTTGTCCGAAATTTATAGATTAATATTTCTTCTAAAGTTAGTACTACTTGGTCTTTTATTTCAGAAGATAACAGTCGTGCTGACCCCTTATCTGTAGGGGATGTTCAAAGACCCCCCAGTGGATGTACATTTTTTTCTATACATACATACTATTATAAAGTTTATAAATTAGGCACCAGTAAGAGATTAATAGCAACTAATAATAAAATGGAACAATTATGACAATATACTATAATAAATGTGAATGTGGCCTCTCCCTCCTCTCTCTCAAGACAGCTACTAAGTGACTAATGGGTAGGGTATACAGTATGGTAGACAAAGGGATGGTTCACATCCTGGGCAGGACAGAGTGGGATATCTCAAGATTTCAGAATGGCACACAATTTAAATCTTAAGAATGGTTTATTTCTGGAATTTTCCATTTAATATTTTCAGAGTGCTGTTGACTGTGGTAACTGAAACCATGAAAAATGAAACCTCAGATGACGGGGATGGGACTATACTGTATAGATATTTACATAATCATTTAAAATTACATCAGTAGTAATTACTTCAGCCTGTCCTCAGAAATGTTTAAGGCTTACTCTGAATAGTGGGCTCTATTCCTTGCTTAACTTCATTGTTATTCTGCTGTATCATTCATTTTGATTAGGCGTACATTATTCACTTTTTTCCTCTTTAGCATAGTATCAGTTTATGTAGGATAACAAATAGCTCTATGAAACTCATTATGTTTACTGTAAGGTGGTGCTGTCAGGAATGCTATTTATTAAATTATATAGTAGCTTCTCACTAAGGTCAGTGTCACTAATATGCATCTGAGGAGCAATTAAGGACTCTTAAATCTGGTAATAGATCATATTTTCCTCTTACCACTAGCTGTTAGAATGCTTGAATATAAACTTGGGCCCCAGTGCATACCTACTCAAAGTCACACTCACCAACATGCACTTGTGTTCTGTTAACGTACTCCTGACTGCAGCGTTCCTTTTTATCATGAAATTTCTTCTATTATGTTTTAAAATTTTTAAATTGACTTTATTCTATACATCTTCATAAACTTTTAAATCGTTTCTGATAAAAAATGAGAACATAGACAAATACTTTTCTCTTTATGGGTTTGAAAATGAAACTACATGGATAAGTTATTTGAACTTGAGTCTTTCAGACCCTAATCTGCACTCACCAGGAGAAAAGCCACTAAGTACTAAGAAAGCCAAGGAAGGGGAAAACGTGGCAAAAAGGAAGAGTGGTTTACAGCTTTCATATGACACACAGGGAAGCTGAGAAGATAACTTATTAGGGTCTTTGGGGAAAGCAGTTTCAGTGATGTGACAATAGCTAAATGCAGTTGGGTAAGGAAGGAAAGGGATGCGAGGAGTGCTGTCTGTCTATTTTACAAAGATTAGTTTTTGTGTCTTTTTGTTTTTATAGGAAAGGGAAAGTGAGTGTGTGTGTGTGTGTGTATATATATATATTATATATATATATATATATATATATATGAGTGTTAATAACGAGGATAATCGAGATGAAGGAAGACAATTTGTTTTTGTTGTTTTTAGGCTAGAGTCTTGATTGTTGGTTAGAGGAACGTGCCTACAGAAAGTAAGAAATTAAAGATAGACTATGAATATTTGTTGAGTAGAAATTAAAGTATACTTTTATTTAAATGAAAAGTTTGGCCATAGTCCTGATGAATTTAAAATGCTAGATTGGTAAAAGTGCTAAGGTAAGAGTGAATATCTCCTTAACCTAATAAAATGTAAGAAATGGTACTGGAAACTGGTAAGGCACACTTTAGGTGTGCTTATTAAATAACTTCTTTCTCAGTATTACTGATTTATTCACTTATTTGGAAGTATGTAGGCCATTTTTTATGTATGTCACTTCTAGAAACATACAGACAGTTTAAGCTTAAAGGTATACTTTGAGAAAAGGGAGCAACAACAGCAGCAGTACATTTCACAGTAATGAGATGGCTTTTATTCTTGTCCAGGTGACCGTTTCAGATCAGTCATAGATGATGCCTGGTGGTTTGGAACAATTGAAAGCCAGGAACCTCTTCAACCTGAGTACCCTGATAGTTTGTTTCAGTGCTATAATGTTTGGTAAGGAAGTATTTGTTGTATTTTAGCTTAGCCTGACTTGCTTTGAATGTTTTCCCCATCTCTATCAATAAGTGATAAAGACACTTCTTTTAAACACTGAAGCAGTTATTTTTATAATGTGATTTTATAAAAATCGCAATGTAATATTTAAATTTTTAATATAAGAATTTTTCTTCCTTTTAGCTGGGACAATGGTGATACAGAAAAGATGAGTCCTTGGGATATGGAGCTTATACCTAATAATGGTAAGTGTATGTTAGGATTTTCAGGTACGTATTATGGAATAAATTACTTAAATAAGAAATTTGGTTTGCTAACTTGCTATTGCGTAGGGTTTTATGAAGTTCAAATAAAAAATATTCATTTATCAAATATTTCTTGCATATCTACTATTGACCTGGACTTTAGAGGCTTAGCAGTGAATAAGATAGACATAATCATTGCCCAGTGAAATTTACAGTTTAACAGGGAAGTTTGAAATTAATTAAAGCAAAATATGAAAATGTTTTGTTAATTATTCACTCCTAGAAGGTGAGCACTTGGGAACAAAGATTATTATTTTTTTTTTTTTTAAGATTTTTATTGGGGTATTGGGGGGATAGGAACACTGCTGGGGAATTGGGGGAAGGGGAACAGACAAGTTGCTGTTGTTTTGTTCTTCAGTCTAGTCGTGGAGGACGTTGCTTCACTGGCCCAAGTTGGCACCATCATTGCGCTCTTCCCGGGCGAGGCAGATCAGTCGCCGGCTTCTGGACGAGGCAGATCAGTCGCCGGCTTCTGGACAGCCGCTCACTGCGGCTGCTGGCCGCTCACGCTGGCTGCTGGCTACATATGGTAGCCCATGGCAACCCACTGCCACAGGGGCTGCAGCCTACGCCGTCGCCGGTGACTCACAGCAACCCAGCTCCAGGTTGAGCTGTTGTTCAGCATCTTAGCTGTAGAGGGCAGTGTCACTGGCCCTCATATGTGGGATCCGAACCAGGGCCCTCTGGCATCCCAAGCCAGTTCTTAACCATCGCGCCACTCGGCCGGCCCAACGAAGATATTTTTTTAATCCAGCAGAATTCTTAGAGTACAAGATAATATTAAGAGTTTAGGCTTTTGACTGAGACATAGATTCATATCCTAGCTCTGCCATGTTCTATTTATGTCATCTTTGTGAATTCCTTAAAGTCTCAAAACCAGGTTGTTAGGACTCAGCCTTTGAATTTTTGTAAACTAATAACTTACAGGGCTTCTGAGAGGATTAAATGATAGCATGTGTGTAAAGTACTTACTATAGAGCCTGACTGCATGTAAGGGCGCATTGAGTAAGTAATTATAATTAATAATAATGTAATGATTGTCATCTTGTGTATGGCCAGATACATTGCCTTAGGGTTTGGGAGTTAGCCTTAGGCAGCGACGACATCTTTGGACTGAGAAAAGACCAGTATGGCTAAATCCTAGAAATTGGTTTTTTTTGGTTTTTTTTTTAAACTCACTGCCCATTTTGTTTCAGTTTAAACAAACACATAATTGTGTATGAATAGGTTTGAAAGGATATACCAGATTATTAATAAGTATTATCTATAAAGTGGGGGAATGTGAAGGCTCTACAGATTTTCTTTTACATTCTGTATGGTTTAATTTTTTTAAGAAAATATGTTTTATTGTCAGATAACAGTAAAGATTTTAAAAAACAGAAAAATATCTGACTTGTGACATAGAAAAAATCATTTATAAATGGAGTTGCTCGCTAATTATCATATTCTAAAAAGTCAGAGAAAAAGTTAACTTGGACAAAGTAAACTCAAATGTTCAACCTTAGCAGTGAGAAAATTGTTATGCTGACACTGTACAAAACTATTAATAATTCTTTCTAGACATTATCACTTTCAAAATTTAATACCAGAAATGTATTTTCATCTCACTGCTAAATTTTAGAGCTGTTTGAAGCTTTAAAATATCTTAACCAGGGCCGGCCGAGTGGCTCGTTGGTTGAGTTGGCTTGGGAGCGCGAGCTCTGAGCAGCAGGGCCGCAGGTTCGGATCCCACATGGGCCAGTGACGCTGCGCTCTCTACAGCTAAGATGGTGAACAACAGCTTGACCTGGAGCTGGGCTGCCATGAGTCACCGGCGATAGCGTAGGCTGCAGTGGGGCTGCTGTGAGCTACTGTGAGTCGCCGGCAACCTGCGTGAGCTGCCGTTAGTGGCTGTCCAATGGCCAGCGAGTGACTGCCACACTTGAGAAGAGCACAGTGATCACAATAGTAAGATGGGCCAGTGAAGTGACATCCTCCACAACTAGACTAAAGAACAAAAGGACAGCAACTTGTCTGTTCCCCTCCCCCAATTCCCCAATAAAATCTTGAAGTGTGTGTGTGTGTGTCTTAACCAGATTATAGCCAGGTTACATAGCTTATATTCTGGTTTTATTTCTTTACTTTGTGAAAGTTTGAGTTTGAAGTCACATTGCACTATTGTGAATAAGAGAGAAATGAAGGTAATTGGTGTTTTAATGCCTGGTGTATTTCTTAAAATGAATTGGTGGCATTTATATACCATTTGTTTCCTACTTAAATATTTTTGTGTGGAGGGCATGATTTTTGTTGTTTTGATCTCTCTTTCTACACACACACACACACACACACACACACACACACACACACACACATCCATAGTTTAATAACATTTTATGAGGAGGAAGAATTTTGTACACGTTTCTTTTATGAATCCTAGTTCAAAGAAAAAAATTACTTTGCAGATTTGTAGATTTTATGTCATCACCACTCCCTAATGATTTTCTTAAAGATTCAGTTAGAGATTCTGTTAAAGATTGTCAAGCATACAGAAAGTATACCTTCACTTAAGAGCAACAAGCATAAGAATTATCTGTCAGTATTCGTAATTCTCTTTGTTCCTATATTAAAAAAAAATTAAGGCTTTGATTGAAGTATTCCTAAAAATACCACTTTAGTTTAGTTTTACCCTGTATATGTTTTGTCAGGGTAAATATAGAGATTATATTATGAAATTATTTAGAAAACTTTTAAATTTGCATCATTTTATGGAAATATTTTCTACTTCACCTATAAATGATAATAAAACAAGTTGTGGGGTATGAATTTGGAGACATAATTATATGCTTATCTAGAGATTTGTAAAAGTTTTAAAACAATTTAAATTTTATTGACCCTTGAGACATAGTTTTCTTTAATGAAAATAAAGAGCATACGTAGCAAATCTTTACAAAGTTATACTCTAAGTTTTATGACTGTCAACAATACTTTATAAAGATACCCTATTTATTGGGAAATTACCACATATTTTCAGTAAATCTGCATTTCTTTCTGTGTATTTCAGCTGTGTTTCCTGAAGAACTAGGTACCAGTGTTCCTTTAACTGATGTTGAAAGCAGATCATTGATCTATAAGCCTCTTGATGGAGAATGGGGTTCCAATCCCAGGGATGAAGAATGTGAAAGAATTGTTGCAGGAATAAACCAGTTGATGACACTAGGTAAATAATAATAGTAACATCAATATAGACAAAGTTGGCAGAAAACAAAGGAAAGGAAAAATACTATAATTCAAACAAAATATTTTTTCGTAATATCATTAAGTCAGTGGTTTTCAAGTATTTTTAAATGGAATTTTTTAAAATGAGATCTTATACAGGCTCATATATCTAAAACAGTTATAAAAGATTAATTTAGTTGAATTTTATTATTTACTTATATCAGATAATGTACCAGTATTGTAACAAGGTTTGAGGGAGGCACATCTCACAAAAGAGCGTGAACACCCATTCATCATCACACTTACGAACTACAAAAGGATCACTCCCTAGCTGAATTTTAGAGTAAGGGCCCCAGAAATGCCAGGGGTGCTTCTAAACAATCTGGATCCTCCAAAACCCAATTTGAAAACCCTTAACCTAGTCAAGTTGACATGGCGTGAATTGGGAGAAAAGAGCTGAAAGCTGAATTATAATTATATGGATAGTTGTACTAGTTTTCCCCTTAACATGTACATATACACAAGAGTATTCATAAGGAGAGGGAAGAAGGGTATATGAATTTCTTTGCTTCATTAAAAGAAAAAAGATGACCAGAAATTATCCCAAGTAACTCTAAACTAGTATGGTGCTTTGTAGCAACCTACTCTGTCAGTAATGAATCAGTGAGAAGTTAACATGAAGAAGAGCTAAGGACACTGGAGAAACACATTAGTGATATTTTCATCTGAAGTCTTTTATAAAATGGCAGCACTTCATGAAAATTGCCTCATAAATACTATCTTAAATAATTTTAGTAATATTTTAGAATATGAAGTCATACTGTGAATTAGTAAAAAAAAAAAAAAATGGGGAGTGATCTTAACTAGGTTCTACATTTTACCAGTTTTCTGTGTGCCATTGGGTTAGTGACATTGAATCAAAGACTCTGGATCTGTTTCCTCATCTCTGCTTGCCTGATATTTCACAGAATTATATTGTAAAGATGAGATAAGGTGACAAGTTTTGAGAAAGTCAAAGATTACAACATTTGAATGCAGTGCATTATAGTGTTACTATAGGATGAATATCAAAAACATAGACTCAGGAATGGCCAGGTTTTGATTATAGAAACGTATGTGTATGCTCTTAATAGGTCAGATTTATACACTATCTGTCATCTCTTCTAAGGAATAACAAATATCCTTAGAATTTTGCAGTGTAAATGTATACATAATAAAAAATGGGGCTGTTTATTAGGTTAGCTAAACTGTGTTTTCTACGAAAAGACATTGGCAGGCAGACTAATGGTTATGTGCATCAGAACTTAAGTCTTAATTCAAGCAGAATTCTCTATTAAGTATTTTAAGCAATATAAAACAATTTGTAACCTTTGTTTTATTTATTTTAGATATTGCTTCAGCATTTGTGGCCCCTGTGGATCTGCAAGCCTATCCCATGTATTGCACTGTAGTGGCATATCCAACAGATTTAAGTACAATTAAACAAAGACTGGAAAACAGGTTTTACAGGTTAGAACCATTTGCTGTAGCTACTATGAAATGAAAACAAAATGATCTGTTCACTGGCTTACTGATTTTTCGATAGCATGTTTCTCAAACTTGAGATTACATAAAAATCACCTAGGAATTTTGTTAAAATGCAGAATCTCGTTCCCTAGGTTTAGAGTAGGACCTGAGAGTCTGCATTTCTAAGAAGTTCCAAGGATGCTAATACTGCTAGTCTGTAGACCACACTTGGAATATGATTCCTAGATACAGTTTTTCCTCACTGCTAATATGAGTTGATGTTCACAGTGTTCATATTGTATTTTATAAAGCAAGCCAAAATATTTAATTTTCTCTGATATCACATTGAAATATTTAATGGATTTTTCATTGAACAATATAAAATATGTTTGTGTTTTTTCTTATTTTGCTTCTGTTCAGCTTATGAATACAAAAAATGAAGTTAAGAAAATTCAGGATATTTTTCATAGTTATAGGTTAACTTGAAATACAGCTAGAGTTTTTTTGGGTTTTTTTAAGACAATTTCAATTAATTTGCATCTTCTAGTTAACAATTTGAATAAATATTGAGTTCTAATCTTGGGCAGGCTTTGTTTGTTTATTACCTAAAATATCTTGTCAAAAAGTGAGTTTAAGTCTATAGTTTTCATATAATTAAATTATACTTGTAGTTTTCATTTTTCTTGTGACTTTTGCTTAACAGGCCAACAAAATTTTAATTCAAATAATATTGCATTGCAATTTTGTTTTTGTGACCAGTTTTATATTACTGCAGTTTTTTACATTTTTATTTATTTAACTTAGGGACGTTTCTATTCCTGTTTTGTATTCGTATTTTTCTACATAAAATCAGTGCCTTTGGTTCCTTTTATTACTTAAAATATAATTCTGATTTGGTACTTCATGTACCTGGCACTGAAAACACCATTTGTTATTCCTTACTGACTAAAGCAGGGTTTCTCTATGAAAGTATTATTGACATTTGGGGCTGCCCTCTGTCCTTTAGGTGCCAGTACCAGCCCCTTGATTTAAAATCCAAATGTCTCCTGTGGGGCAGAATGACTCCTGATTGAGAAACTCTGGAATAAAGAAAACTAAGATATTAGACTGAAGGTTCTGAAGATTTTTTTGATCTTGTTAAGTGTTTCTGCTTTTGCATCATTGATATTTGTCAAAAGCATAGAGGAAAAATCCCCTATGATAATGTGCCTCCCAGCCATCTTACCCTTAAAGCACACTGCTTCAAATCTTTTTCAGCACTACATTCCAGAAGAGAGAAAATGGAGAAGAAATTCTTAGCTGTAACCTTCTTTCTCCCTAGAACCCTAAATTGCTAAACCTTAGGAGTTACACCTAGTGCTTCAGAGATGTAACAAGACATGGGAGGATAACAGGGAGAGAAAGAATGTTCTTACGCACTGGTTTTTGGACTTCAACTAGAAACATAAACTTATGGCGACTCCCACTATTGTAAATTACTTTCTCATAGAAATACTGCTCAATATGATAATTGCTAAGGTGTACATTTCAAGTACATTACAGCTTAAATAGGATTTTTGGCATTAGCCTAGCTTAGTAACCAATTTAGGAAAAAAATATTTTGGAACACAATCTTTACATGAATTAGAAACAGCCTGTTTTTCAACCTGATATTATAGTTACAGACCTGAGTTTTCTTATTTAATACAATGATGCCTTCAAGTGCAATTTCACTGTTTCAAGCTTTTTGCTCCTCCTTTACTCATTGGCTTCAGACTTACTGCAGTCTGTGGTTTTTCTCTTTTCAATACTCCTAGTTCAGTCTTTGTTAAACCTACCTACTATTATCAGTTTGCCCTGCTGGTATTAATCTAATGCTTATTTCACACAGTTTTCTATAGGGTATCCTGAAGATGCCCGTGATTCAATTATTAGAATGAGCCTTGTGAATGTTATTTGAAATGCACTGAAGCATTTCTGTATTCACAATTATATATTTTTTAAATTGCATGTAATTGTATTTTTGTTCACATCAGTATGATTTTTCTGAGTGTTTTCTTCTTTAAGTAGGATCACATGTTAATCAGTGATATTCTAGAAATCATCTGGATTTTTCTTTACTTTCAGAAATAAAGTAATAAAATGCCAAAATTTATTTTAGTATTGTCAATTCAGTGTTTAAAAAAATAACTTTTGTTTACTTAGGTTTCTTGATAAACTAACATGATTACCATGTTTTTTATATTTTTGTATTTCATAAGAGGCCATCAGTTAGCTTTTCATTTGTATAAGTTATTAGCTTACCAGTGATATAATTAGATGAAAATTATTGCCTTTTTATATAAAAGTCAGATATACTTAACAAAAAAATGACACTATACATGACAGGAATATGTAAATCAAAAACTTAAAAAATCCTTTATTTTTTTTCTGCTACTGTTATACATAGTCTCTCTCCCTAAAAGAAGCAACTGTTAATGGTCTAGTGTGTCTAATCCAGACATTTTCTATGCAAGAACATAGTTAATGTTATTACCCTTTTATTCCCTAACAAAAAAATTATAATTTTTAAAAAATAACTTTTTAAGGTGTGAGTTTTCTATTTGATTTAAGGCTGCAATTTGAAAAGTCACAATTTATTGCTTTTAAATTGTGTGCATATGTTTCTAAATATAATGAGGTTAAGACTTCTGTATTTTGTTTGTTTAAAGGCGGGTTTCTTCCCTAATGTGGGAAGTTCGATATATAGAACATAACACACGAACATTTAATGAGCCTGGAAGCCCTATTGTGAAATCTGCTAAATTTGTGACTGATCTTCTTCTACATTTTATAAAGTGAGTTATTTTTCCATACTTAATTATAAAGTGTCAAAATGTAAAATATAGCAGTTTTTATACACATAATATACGCATACTATGTTTGTATGCATAGCTCTACTCAAAATAGGAAACATAATGTCTGTATCTAAAGAAATAACATTTAGTCTGTTGGCTAATATTAATTATGAAATCATAAAAGTTGTATGCTACAGGTAACAAAAAACGTGGATCCTTTTCTAAATCCAACTGTTGGATAATATAATGATAATATAATAATAATTAAACATTTATTGAACATGTAATGTTTTACCTAAAATAGTTCTTCTTCTAAGCCAAATAATAATCTTACATGTGGGAGAGATCATTATCTGGAATTTACGTTTAAGGAAACTGAGTCTTTTAAAGGATAACTTGTTTCATTTTCACAGTAAATGAGTTTCTGCCATCTGATTTGAGAACCTTTCATCTTAACATTATATTACCCCTGTTAAGTTAATAAGCATTTAAGTAATCCAGTAGAAAACTAAATTTAACTTTCAAGATGATTTCTTCTTCAAAGTCAAGTTTACATCCTCATTCATTGATCCCCTACCAAGATTGATAACTACAGTTTTTTTAAGGCAACCACACTTTTATTTCCTTGTCTCATGGATTTTATGTAACTGTAGAATTAATTGAGTCTTTTAAATTGAAGCCAGAGGAATGAATCATTGGTTTTGTATAAGATACTGCTGTGAATTTATAGTAACATTATTTATATTGGATAATTATTTTTGGTTAGGAGGAGACAATGTATTTTATAATTTAAATATTTAGCTGTTATCAGTTTTTATTTTTATATGAAGGGATCATTGAGACATCTCCAGCTTTATCCTCTTTACTCAGCATTATGATAAGGGTCCCTTTTCCTAGTATTAGTTGTTGGGTGTTGTTTGTTTTTTTGCTAAGGAATGTAGGTAATTTCAATATAAGAAAACACTAAAGAAAATTAGTAAAATAAACTTGATGCCCTTCTTCTGTCTTATTCTCTAAAGAAATCTGTTACCTTCCAAGTCGTTTAGGGGCTATGATTGCAGTGCTCTTGCTTCTTTTCAGTAAAATTGATAATCAAGAATTAGCTATCCTTGGAGGAATATATAACTCGTTACAATAACATATAACATTTTAACTATCAAGTTTTTAATCTGTAATTTTATAAGTGTTATGTGAATATGTATGTACATTTATTTTCCCAAAGAGATAGGAATCAATAGAATCAAATGATATTATTTTAGTGAAATAATTTAGATAAAATAATTTTTATATTTGGAATAGTCTGTGAAATTGTATTTCTTTCAAATAGTTACTGTGAAATGCCTTATAAGAGTAGATTAATACAGCATTTAAAGTATTTATATTGTATTTATCTAAAAATAAATCCCTGGCATTTTTAATATGTATGTAATTTATTAAAACCATGTTTAGCTCAAAGTAATTTTCAAAATGTTGGTTATGCCTTGAAATTTTGAATATTGTACTTTTAAATTTCAAGCAATAGATACATACAAAGTGATGTAATAGATATTTGGAGTTAGAAAGAAATGTATTGGGTTGTCGGAAAAGTCATGACGTATTTTTTCTATGTTTTTCGTTGCGAAAATGTGTCATGACTTTTCTGACAACCCAATATATTTGCCCTCTTAATACAATTTCGTAGATAAATAAATCTGTAAATAACTATAATGTAAGAAAAAAGTAACAGGAGACTGTATGAAAGTTTAGAGGAGCGATAGGATCACTTCTAGCTATGAAGGAGGGGTTTCAGGTACAGGGGGAAAGTATGTTCGGATATTATGGTAAAGGTAGATATTGATAGAGTCAGGAAAAATTAGATGAAAAGAAAAGCTGTTCGAGGGATCAGAGTGGCATGAGGTAGGAAATTAAAGAGTTGTTAAGGAAATTTAGTAATTTAAATTGGGGTAAGTAGAGAGTACATTTGCAGAAATAATGGGGATACAATGCTGTAAACCCAAGTTTAGGCCAGATCATGGAGGGCCTTGAATACCAATCTGAGGAACTAGACTTAAAATATGAGCCCTGGAAGCAAGGGGCTATTGAAAATATTTTAATATGAAAATGATGCATAGTCTGCCTTAAAATATTAATTTGACTGTTGTGTCTAATATTGATTGATAGAGAAGAGACATAAAGCATAAACAGCAGGTTGAATGCTACAGCTGAGCAAGTAAGAGGTGATGAGGGATTAGTTATGGAAGTAAGAAAGTCAGATGTTAAGAGATTTTGAAGGTATACTCATAGAGCTTGGTCCATGATTGGGTTTATAAGGAGACAAGAGAAAGAATAATGAAAGACCATGGATTAATGTAAGAATGGTAACACTATTAAAAAAATAATAGAAAAAGGAGGAAGTGTGTCTGGGGAGTGAAAATTAGGTTTAGACATGGGGAATTTTAAATTGTAGGAATCTCAAAAGAGACCATATTATAGGAATTTAGAATTTATTTACACAGATAAACTGCAAATATAGTATAAGGTTATTAGGGCAAAAGGTATAGTGTCAAGAGAAGATGACTAAAGACTAAACTTTAGGGAATGACTGTTTTAAGAATGAAAGGAAGAAGGAATTAGAAGACAAGGAGGTACATTAGCTATCCCTTGTAAACCTGAGGAATGAAAGGAGGCATCCCAGGTACAGCAGTGACCTGAGCAAAACTTAGAGGTAAGAATTGGGTTTAAGTTTTATCTTAAAATCTCATTTTAGTAACAGATTTAAAGGAAAAAAAAAAATCTCTTGACTCTAATCTTGTATATTAACATTTCCTTGTTATTTAGGGATCAGACGTGCTATAACATAATTCCACTCTACAATTCAATGAAGAAGAAAGTTTTGTCTGACTCCGAGGTATTTTTCATGATGATTGTTACATTGGTCTTATTCTGTATATAAAAGGAAATATACACACACACACACACACACACGTGTATATGTGTGTATGTGTGTATATAGCAGTTTTCGGATAAATGCTATTATGACAATTTTGTCTAATGCTGTGGTTAACATAAAAATAGTTCATAATTTTCTTGTTTTTGTTATAAAGAAATTTTTTTAAATGGTGGGAGGTGGGGAGACTTTTTAATGATTCATTATAGTGTTCCAGCATGTACATTATAGGTTTTCTAAAGTGTAAAGGAGATAATTGGTGTATAAGGAACTATAGAGTATAGTTGACACTTGAATAGCGTGGGGGTTAAGGGAGCTGACTCCCTGAGCAGTCAAAATCTCTGTATAACTTTTGACTCCCTCAAAACTTAACTATTAATACTAATAGCCTATTTGTTACCAGAAGCTTTACCAATAACATAAACAGTTTATTAATAGGTATTTTGTATATTGTATGTATTATATGTCTTATCCTTATAATGAAGGAAATTAGAGAAAAGAAAATGTTAAGAAAATCATAAGAGAAAATACATTTATAGTCCTGTATGAATTTATTGAAAAAATCTGTATATAGTGGACCCGCACAGTTTAAACCTGTATTGTTCAGGGGTCAGCTGTTAATAATGCAATCTAGAATGTTTAATGAATCTGATAAATTCTTGCTTCAAAGGAAGAAGAGAAAGATGCTGATGTGCCAGGAACTTCTACCCGAAAAAGGAAGGTAATATGTTTTTTGTTTTAGCAAAAGTACATTATATGAATTAAAATGTGAGCGGTTTTTTACTGTTAGTATTTTAAAGACCTATTAAATATTATTTCCAAATCAGTTTCCATCACAAAATGCATGTTTTTCAGAACTAGGGGGATATTTTCTATTATTTGAATTATATATATTACTTAATTAAGGATGCATTAAAATTTATGTGTATAAGTGTTATTTTATTAATATATTTGAACATTTTTATTTTAGGACCATCAGCCTAGAAGAAGATTACGTAACAGAGCTCAGTCTTATGATATTCAGGCATGGAAGAAACAATGTCAAGAATTGTTAAATCTCATATTTCAGTGTGAAGATTCTGAGCCTTTCCGCCAGCCGGTAGATCTCCTTGAATATCCTGTAAGTATTTTTGAAAATATTTTCTCTACCTGTCAGTTTGCTATATATCTTATTCATGACAGTTTGCTTTTTAAATTTTATATTTTATGGTTACAGTATTTTTCCATTATTTTATATATGTTCTCATCATCCATTTGGGTATATGGAGCATCTAAGTTGAATACTGTGGTAAAATAGAAATAACCCTGAACTAAGAGCCCAAAGAATTGGGTTATGATCCCAGCTCTGCCTTTTATAGTTATGTAGCTTTGAGCAAGTCATTTAGTTTTCTCATCTGAAAATTCTTTTTTTACTATTTTTTTCCCCACACTAATTCTATAAATTTATTATGGTAGTTATTTAAGAAACAATAATAATAATAATACCTACCTAACCTTCCTTATAGGGTTAAGAGCATACATATAAAGCATCATGGAATGAGCTTACATTGAAACAGTTTTAAACTGAAGCACTATATACAGATGTAAAGTGGCATTATTTTATACACACACGTATTTAGATTATGTCAATTTATGATCTTTATGGAATTCATGGTAAAAAGGTTGAGTAAACATGATCCAAGTATTTATTTTTGCATGTAGTCTTAGCAATTTAAATTTAGCTTAAAGTGGTTGTTTGATTTCTTTATTCAGTTATTAAAGGTTGTACAGTTCAGATAACATTCATAGTTTCAAATGAAAATAGAAAGGAAATATTTTATGAGAGATCATGGCCCGATATGATGTCACTTGACTTCATTATCTGTTTTAAGTATGTGTTATAACTTGCGGTGGTAATAGAGAAATATCATCAATAGATAAATACCATACATGCCTTTTCTTGTCATTTAAAATCAAGAAACATGGAATCTTAAATATAGAAGATAAATCTTTAATTCCAGGAATATGAAAAACCTACCCTCCAAAATCTTTAGAAGAACTAGACTAATGCTTCAGTGTTCTGGTTTTCAGTTCTCTTTGTTTCTGGAAACTGTCCCTTTGTTTCTTAAAAGTCCAACTTTGTATTTTAGAAAATAAGTTATAATTTACCAAGCACTTGCAGGTGTTTGTATTCTGGACTTTTTCCCAGAGAAGAAGAGATATAGATAAGCTTCAATGTCTAGATTCTAGAGGCACAGGTTATTAACACTGTGCAGAGACAGGTGGAGCCATGTGAGCCATGGTGAAGAAGGAAATTGGAACTGAGATTCCACTGGGACTGTTGAAAGACTCCGTGAAAAGAATAGGATCATTACTTCCAAGAGGAAGAATGTCTCTCTCTGGTGTTCTGGTGTCAGAGAAATCTCCCTAAGCTTGCACTATGTGTCCAAATTTACACTCCCTTGTGGTGTAGAAATTCATCAGGCGTTGGGGGGGGGGGGGGGGGGCGGGACGACGACCAATCTTTACTAAAGATGAAAACTAAGGATAAAAAGAGTTGTAAGCTATACATACAACAGAAACAACAAATGGAAATATTATGGGGTTGTCGGAAAAGTCATGATGTATTTTTTTCTGGTTTTAGTTGCAAAAATGCGTCATGACTTTTCCGACAACCTCAATAGTACCCTCTCCCCCAAAACTTGAGATGATAGATTATTCTGAAATATTATACTTCCATCAAATCTAAAACTCGGTTATTGTACGATGATTTATTTTATGTACCACCAAACAAAAAATGCTGCCAATTAAACTTTGATTTGTCATTTTGGTTTAAGAGATAAATGGAGGGATAAGAAGTATAAGGAAAAAAGACTTAAAGACAAAAGAAAAATGTTAAAGCAAACCATACAGAAAATATGAAAGAGACTCAAAACTGTGATACAACCAACTCTATACTGTTGTTGAACTGAGGCTTAGATTAAGCAGCTCTCCAAAATATGTAACTTGACAAAATGAGAACAAGAGCCCATATCTCCTATACCTAGTGCACTAGAGTTACATGTAATATTCTTAGAGAATAGATAATATATAAGAATTCTGTCTCACTTAAGTATTCACAATAATGAGAACAATATTTAGAACCTCTCCTTCCACCAGCTAAAGGTTTTAGCAGACAAAAAGCTCTAGAAGCAAGAAAAAAATTTAATATCTACTCGCTCGTGGTACTCATTGATGGAGGTGTGAAGACTTATGGCTAGTTACTGTTTTTTATTGTCACAGAGGAGAAGAGGAAATTGTATAATTTGCTCTTTATGTTTCAGAATTAACTATAATTATCAGCCTTACTAGCAGAGTATTTAAGGCAGATCATGCTCTTCATACTTCAGCTTTTGTGTGAAAATGTTAGTTTACATTTTGAGTTTAATCAAATATTCAAAGCAAGATTTTAAAAAGTTAAACTTTTTGATGGAAATTAGTATGCTAAATATTCTCCATTTATTTATTCTACAGAGGTGTATTGAGTGTCTACCATATACTCTACTTAGTGGTAGAATCCTAAGATACAAACCAAGAAAAATGAAGTGCTCTATGTACATTTGACACTTATCCAAAATTTGGCACATTAAAAAATTTTTATGTCACTTTGTCAAAATTTATATTTTGTAAATCCAACATGTCATAATATTTAGTAGCCAGGTAATTATAGATTTTGTCAAAGTGGTTTTATACCCTTAAGAGAATAGAGCTTGGACACTGTTCAGATGCTGTTACCATTGCATAAAGCAATTTTGTAACTGCTCTCTTCAGTTGTCTTAAGAGCCAGAGAGGTTCAGTCTTCGGAATATCTTTTGGAATCACAATCTTCCACTAATGATGAATTTAATTTCTGTAAATGGCCAAGTTATTTTGACTAGGTTTGGTACATAAGGTATACTGTTATACACTGGTTTTGCCAAAATTAAGAAAATACAGTTAATATAATTGGCCCTGTGATGAATGGGTGCCAAGTACATAAATACATAATCTAAGAAAACAGACCATCATTAATGATTTAAAAAAAAAACAACCCACAAAACTAGTAATAAAGGGGAAGTTCCATTAACTTGATAAAGAAAATATTTATTAAATAACCTATAGCTAGCATCATGCTTCATTTTGAAAAACTGAATGCTTTCCCCCTAAGATTGGGAATGAGACACTGCTATTCAATATAGTATTGCAAATTCTAGCCAATGCAGCAAGGCAAGAAAGAAAATAAAAGGCATACAGATTAAGGAAGAAATAAAACTGTTTATAGAGGGCAATAATCCTGTTTGCTTTATGGTCAAACATATTTGATCATAATTTAAACTAGGTGCAAAGTCAAGTTATATTTCGAAAAATACAGTTATATACTCTGAGGCTATGGAAAAGGTGTAGTACTCATCCTTATTTAAAGATACTATATTCACATAACTTTATACTATTCTGTTGCCTTTTTTTTTTTTTTTTTTAGTTGTCTTATTGCTTCTAATCTATTGACTTATTTTATACAGTTGACTAGGTGGCGACATTGGGGAATTCCACTTCTCTGTGGAATGAAGTGCCATAGGCTTTGTGACAGCTAGTAAAAATTAGGTTATGTTTCAGTGAGTCAACAGCCTTTAGAGTTTATAGGTAGCATAAAGTTTTGGGTATTTTACATCAAACTTACATGTGCATTGTAGAGCTGGGTTTTTTCAATACTTTTTAATCCCCCTTTTCTAACACACTCCTCCACTTACCTCTTCCCCAAGGAAAAAAAGCGGAACTTAATAGATTTCTTGAATGAGGAAAATCCTGTGTTGAGTGCAGTAAAAGGGAGGGGGCATGCAAAAAAATCACTAGAAAAACGGGAGCGTTGATGAGGGAAACAAGAAATGATTATTAATCGTTCTAGGACTTAAACTCATCACAGAAATTGTAGGTGAATGAATCCCTGTGCTGAGAAGTAATGCTTTGTGTAGTAATGATAACAATAATAATGCCACCTGTTTTTTCTCTCTTAGGACTACAGGGACATCATTGACACTCCAATGGATTTTGCTACCGTTAGAGAAACTTTAGAGGCTGGGAATTATGAGTCACCAATGGAGTTATGTAAAGATGTCAGACTTATTTTTAGTAACTCTAAAGCATATACACCAAGCAAAAGATCAAGGGTATATGATTACATTTTCTTTTATGTTTAAATTAAATGAAATTAGTAGAAAAAAGTATGTTAAGTAACTTTTTATTTAAAATTGAGAGCACAATTGACTGTTATATTCTTAATGGTATCCTGGTGGAAAAAAAAGAATTGATTTCTTTCTACTTTTTCATTCTATGAAATAACACTGATGTTACTAATGTTTAGGGATGGTTACTTTTCTTGAAGTAGTATGGTTCAATAGATACATACATATCGCCCTCGTATGTATTAGGGCTATGTGGGCTTAACTTTTCAGGCTGTTTTCTATGTTAGTGGAAAGGAGCAGCTTTGTGAATGATTTATAAAAATGAGTAAACTTTAATTTACCTGCCTTTGGCCAAACAAGACAACACAAAAGGGTGATACATGCAAATAAAATGAGAAAGAATAGCTATCTCGTTCTAGGTAGCAGTGGAAAACAGCTTCAAACCCTCAGGAATAGTTTCAATATGACAGAGTTCACAGGAATTTTGTCTATTTGAGCCACCTGAATTCATTGTAGGGCTTTTCTCAAAGCATAGAAGGTGCCTAATCTACATACAAAAACAATTTAATTATAAAAATGCTTCAGTTTTACTCTTCATCAAAAGAGATTGGAAAAAGCAATGTTTAAATTCTAAAAACTTTTTGCTAGAAAAATATTTAAATTATATGTTAATATTTACTGAACAGTCATTTTCCTTTGAGGAATGTTTGAACAGTTTTTCTTTTTCTTACCATAGATTTACAGCATGAGTTTGCGCCTGTCTGCTTTCTTTGAAGAACACATCAGTTCGGTTTTATCAGATTATAAATCTGCTCTTCGTTTTCATAAAAGAAATACAATAACCAAAAGGAGGAAGAAAAGAAACAGAAGCAGCTCTGTTTCCAGTAGTGCTGCATCAAGGTATTTGATTTCTTTTAAATAGCATCAACTGATCTATAACTTTGTCATCTAAATGATAGAACTCGGTGTTTTTTAATACTTCCTTTACTATTCCCTATATTGCAGAATGATATATTTGACATGCAAGTTCCTATGATGTGGAGGATTTTTAATCTTTTAACTAAAGCTATACTAGTGTAAGTGCTTAAATTCAAACTGCTAAATCTATACAGTAAAACAGCATTTTTAGGGTAGTGATGGCATCATGCTTTCTGTCATATATAACTATAGCATTTACAGCGATCCTTCACTAAATATTCACTTTTCAAAGGCTCACAACCATATGAAATCCACTACAAATCTCATATTTTAACATATTTCATAATAGTACAAATATTGAATCCAATAGTATGTATAAAACTTGTGTTTTACTCATCCACATAGAACTATAAGAGTGACTAATAATATTATTTTATTTACAGCCCTGAAAGGAAAAAAAGGATCATAAAACCCCAGCTAAAGTCAGATATTTCTACCTCTCCATTCTCTATACCCACACGATCAATACCACCGAGGCACAATGCTGCTCAGATAAATGGTAAAACAGAATCTAGTTCTGTAGTTCGAACCAGAAGCAACCGAGTGGTTGTAGATCCAGTTACCTCTGAGCAACCATCTACTTCTTCAGCAGCAAAGACTTTTATTTCGAAAGCTAATACATCTACAGTGCCAGGGAAAACAAGTAAGAATCAGTTACAGTCTCTAAATTGAAGTATGCATAATGACTCTTTTTTTTTTTTTTTTTACTTATTTATTTATTTATTTTTATTGTTAGTTTCAGGTGTACAGAACAATGCAATAGTTATCCTTTTCACCCTTCACACAGAAACAACCCCCCTCCCATCTACTGCCCTCCCACCCCCGACCGATATCATGCTTATCTATTACAATTCCATTGACTCCATTCCCACACTCTACTCCACGTCCCGTGACTATATGTATATATAATTGTAGTTGACATAAATATTATTCAACATCAGCTTCAGAAATACAGTGTGGTGGTCAGGCCGCTACACCGACTATGAAGTGGTCTCCCTAATGACGTGAGTCCATCTGACCCCCTAAAAAATATTTACAACATTATGATTATATTCCCCAGACTGTCTTTTCTATCCCTGAGGCCATATTGTAGTTACCAGTTTGTATTGTCTCATCCCTTCCCCTTCTCCTTCATCCCCACCTCCTCCCAACTAGCAACCCTCAGTTTTTCCTCTGTCTCTGAGACTATTTCTATTTACATTTCTCATTTATTCAGTTTTCTAGAATCCATGTATAAGTGAGATCATATGGTTTTGTCTTTCTCTGACTGACTTATTTCACTTAGCATAATGTTCTCTAGGTCCATCTATATCGTTGCAAATTGTACTATTTCCTTCTTTATTGCTGAGTAATACTCCATTGTGTAAATGTACCATAGTTTTTAATACAGTTGTCTACTGATGAACATTTCAGTTGTTTCCAAATATAATGACTCTTTTAATTTAAGCTTTTACTTTGCCAAATGAAATACACTGGATTTTTGTAAATTCCAGCAGACACTTGATTTTTTTCTTTATTGTTTTTTCACCCCCCCCTTTTTTTAAATTGTTTTTAATAAGAGAAGAAACTTGAGGTTAAGAGGTGTCAGTATAGAGTAATGCTTAAAAATGGTAACTCTGACTCAGACTGCCTGAATTTAAATTCAAGTATCCAGACTTGCTAGCAGTTTGCCAGGACTTGCCTTCGTAATCTTGAAGTGATTGGATAGCTTCTGAAAGGTCTGAAATTATTAAGAGTTTATTGTTTATGCCTCTTTCCTAATTTGAAAGTAGGTTTTCTAAAGAAGCTTTAAGTATCCCCCAGGTTTTGTCCTCTTGGCTAATTCAAGCAATTCAAGTTAGAGGTAATCCCAACCTTCTTGCTTATTTTTAGGTTATATAACTCTTAGTAGCTTATAATGTTTTATATATGTGTTTTAGTTCTAGAGAATTCTGTGAAACATTCCAAAACCTTGAATACTCTTTCAAGTCCTGGTCAATCCAATTATAGTCATGGGACTAGGAATAATTCTGCAAAAGAAAACTTGGAAAAGGAAAAGCCGGTCAAACGTAAAATGAAATCATCTGTACTCTCAAAGACTCTTTCAAAGTCATCAGCTGTCATTGAGCAAGGTAAGGTGTTATTTGTATCTTCCAAGATAGAGTAGATCTTTCTTATAAATGATTTTGTTGGAGTTAGCACGTAAATTAACTTTTTTAAGTTGCTCATTAAAGGTCATATTCTATATTAGTTGATAAATTTCGTGAGACATCTTTGATTTGCAGTTTTGTGCCAAACTTAAACTATTTTATCATTAATTTTAAAAGCCAAGAAAAACTTGCTATATGAAAATGACAACAAATAGTAGAATCAAAGACTTTTAGGATGTAAATTAGTTTTTAACTTCATCATTACAAAACCTAAAAAAGTATATCCAAGATGTTTAAATTAAATTGGATTTAGTTAACCCATATAGCAGTCTTCACTTTTTTAGAAAAATTAAGTTGTTATTACATTACAAAATTCAACACAGCAACCTTTATTAATTCATCAGGGTTGTCTACAGCCAGACTCTCTATTATAATACACAACTTTGGGCTTTTTACAGTTATTCTTCCAAGTTCTTTCATCTGCAGACTTTCTTTGTTAAAGCTTTATGTTTGAAAGATGAAGAAGGTAAATAATATAATACCATATTTCCCCATGTATAAGACGCACCCTTTTTTGAAAAATTTGGGGTCTAAAAACTGGGTGTGTCTTATACAGTGGTTGTAGGTTTTTTTTACTTGCATTTCTGGCTTTTTTCGTGCTTGTTTTTTTTGCGTTCATACAACCACTGTATAAGACGCACCCAGTTTTTAGACCCCAAATTTTTCAGAAAAGGGTGCGTCTTATACATGGGAAAACACGGTATACCCTATGTGTGACATGTTACAATAATTATGGCTTTTTTAGGAACAGACACCTCAAGAATAAGCATTTTGTATCATGATTTCCAAAGTGTTTCTAAACCATTTCTTCTCCAATGTTCTTCCCAGAAACCTCTCACAATTTAATTGTTTTTCTAAACGTCTACATTTTGATTAGTGGCATTAAGATACATCCACTGACCTAGGCTTAAAATCAGGGAGTCATCCTAGCCTTCTCTTCAACATCTAAATCTACTTGATAACTATTAGTTTCTGTTGTTTTCTGCCTCCTTAACATCTCTCAAATCCATTCCATCCTCCATTCTTGCTTCCATGGCCTTAATTTAAGCCAACATAATTTCTCATCAGGACTGTAGTCCTAATTTCCTAACTGGTCTCTCTGCCTTAGTTCTTAACTCTTCTTTACCTAATCCATCCTCCACATTGCAGCCAAAGTGATCTTTCTGATCATTTCTCTCTAGTGCACGTGCGCGCGCACACATTTCTCCCCTGTCACCCCTCCCCTCATCATTATGGAAGACCACCAATCTAAAGAAAATCATTTGTACTGTGGGGGGTCAGGAAAATGAAGACTTTGCCTTCTCTCTCTGCTACTAGTCTCGCCTTTTGTGAGTCTCTTGATGGTTTTTTTCTTAATGTTTATTCAGTATAATTCCAACCCCTGACAAAAAATAACCATTATGAAGAAGCATTCTCTTTAAAATCAGTTTCCATCTCTTTATGGATTTCCTTTAAAATATTGTATTGCCAATCACATGCACCACAACCAAACAAAAAACTTTATAAAGTTTTTGGAAGAAAAATGTTAATGGTAGTGCATGTATGTCATTTTTTGTTTTCATCTGAAAGGGTAATAGAATTATTACTATTTTTTTACCACAGAAAGGCAGTTCATCATGATCTCTAGATTCTACATATTTGCAATTTTATCTCCCAATTTTTATTTTTTTATTAAAGCATAATGGCCTTGAGTTTGTTACAGTGGGATTTTTATCATGATAATGGTGGCACACATACAGGCATAACTTGGAGATATTCCAGGTTAAGTCTGATCCACCACAATAAAGCAAATATGGCAGTAAAGCAAGTCGCATGAATTTTTTGGTTTCCCAGTGCATATAAAAGTTATGTTTACACTATATGGTAGTCTATTAAGTGTACAGTAGCATTGTGTCCTTAAAAAACAATGTGCATACCTTAATTTAAAGATACTTTTCTTGCTAAAAAATTCTAACCATCATCAGAGCCTGTTGGGGAAATGGCTCCATAGACTTCCTTGATGTAGGGTTGCCAAAAACTTTGAATTTGTGTTTAAAAAAAAAAAAACCAATGTATCTGTGAAGTGCAATAAAGCAAAGTGCAATAAAATGAGGTGTTCTGTAAATAATATCATTAAACTATTAGGCTTTTGTTGGTTCTTTTTCTTATTTTAGTAAAAGAATAATTAGAATTATGTCATTACATATAAATAAGTATAGAATTGGTCTTATTGATTAGTTTGAGGGTCAAATAAAAAAGCAATTTCATGTATTCATTGTGCCATTGTTCCCTTTTAACAGATTGTAAGAACAATGCTCTTATACCAGGAAGCATTCAAGTGAATGGCCATGGAGGGCAGCCATCTAAACTTGTGAAGAGAGGACCTGGAAGGAAACCTAAGGTGGAAGTTAATACCAGTAGTGGTGAAGTTATTCACAAGAAGAGGGGTAGAAAGCCCAAAAAGCTTCAGTATGCAAAGCTAGAAAATGCAGAGCAAAATAATGTACATCCTATCAGAGATGAAGTAGTTCCTTCTTCAACATGCAATTTTCTTTCTGAAACTAATACTGTAAAGGAGGATTTGTTACAGAAAAAGAGTCGTGGAGGCAGAAAACCCAAAAGGAAGATGAAGACACAAAAATTAGACTCAGATCTCATAGTTCCTACGAGTGTTAAAATGCTAAGGAGAAGTAACCGAAAAAAGACAGATGATCCTATGGATGAGGAAGAAGAGTTTGAGGAACTGAAAGGCTCTGAACCCCACATGAGAACTAGAAACCAAGGTCGAAGGACAGCTTTCTATAACGAGGATGACTCCGAAGAGGAGCAAAGGCAGCTGCTGTTTGAAGACACCTCTTTGACTTTTGGAACTTCTAGCAGAGGACGAGTCCGAAAATTGACTGAAAAAGCAAAAGCTAATTTAATTGGTTGGTAACTTGTACCAAAATATTTTACTTCAAAATCATAAAGCAGGTACAGTTAAGGAATAAGCAGAACTAAGGCTTCTGCTTCCTTGCTGCTGTGGTGGATTAGGGAATGGTTATGATTTGATTTGCAAAAAAAAACAAAACAAAACAAAAACAAACTTACAAGACACTTCACTTCTTTAAATGAATATATATATAAATATATACATATATATTTTAAATGTTTGCTATTTATTCCCTTAGATAGGTTATGCATTTCAACATTCATTTCATTGACTGGTCGCAAAAAAAAAAAAAAAAGAAGGAAAAAAAAAAAGAAATTGAGGACCTATAATGAATTCCCAGTCTATTTCTGGAAAAGACAGTTCTGCTACATTTTTAAGGAGCATAGTATTCCTAGTGATAGAGCGTTTCATGTTAAAATGAATTATTTTTGACCAAGCCAGGTACATTTCTATTGATACAGAATCCATGCCCCCTAGGAAGAGAGATGTTACCAGAGTAGCAGTAAATTAAGAAATGTGTTTCCTCTAAAGATAAATATAAAATTCCCACAATTTGATACCCTAAAGAGTTTAATTTTACTTGTACAATGTTCATCTACAAAGAATCTAGAGAAGGCTTTTGCTGTATTCCATTTCTGCCAAACGTAAGAGAAAATGTACTGATGAAAAGGAAACATATCCACATTGGAAAACATTTGACTGTCTAATTTTTCAGACCTTGATTCTTATATCAATCACTCGATCTCTGTTTATTGTGCCAAAGACTGAGAATCAGTGCAGTGGAAAGCCTGTTTTTGACTGTCAGGACAGCATACACTTTTCAATATTGGAAAAGCTATATATTATGCTAAAGAGCAAGTTAGTAAAGAGTTATGCTGAGATGTATCTTTTTTTTGGTACTAATAGTAGAAAGTAATGCACTGGTGGGTCCTTTGACAGAGATGTTTTGGAGAAAGTGTTTAAGTGGTTAAAGGATTCAAGGAAAATACAGGAAAAAGGTATGGGATTTGATGTTTACTTGATGATCTGGATTAATGTCATTTCTAAACTTTAGACATATCTAATAGGCTAAATGACTTACAAAGAAGAAATGTGTCTGTGTGTGTATGTGTATATATTGATAAATGGGTATAATTAAATATATATACAAACACATACTACTTATATACTATTACCCAGGTATAAATTCTTTTTTCAGGATTTTTTAGATAGTGATAGAATAAAAATAATTTTAAAATGTCATACTTTATAGTTTAATTTTAAGGGGAAGATTGGTTATTTTCAATTATTAAAGGTTAAAATAGGCCAAATCACTTTTTATGCAATCATGTTTTATACAGTGGTCTCATTGCACATTGTGTTTTTTCTGCACTTTTTACGGTATCCTTATCACGCTGGTATGTCAATATACACCCTAAAGAAAAATTCCATTTAATGATTGTGCCTTGTATTCTATTATTTTTTGCATCATTAGTAAAATTAAGTTGTCTATTGTAAATGATAATTATATGACTTAGGAGAATGTATTGCTATATGTACTGCTATGGAAAAGGAAAGCAGTTATTTATTTGTTTATGGTACAGTTATTTTATACCTTAAAAACCAACATAAATACCATTTCTATTGTTTAAAAATTATTGTCCATTTTTTAAAAAGTTGAAAGAATGTAGTATTTTCTGAGGACTGGTATGGTACAAAAATGTAACCAAAATTTTCAGATACTACATTTTTAAAAAGTGAGGATGGGAAAATATATATCAGCATGACCCTGATATAGAAAAATAAAGTCTTTAATTGAACCTTGGCAAAATACATTACATAATTATTTCTTATTTCTGGTAGGGATAAATATTAGCTGTCATTTAATTGTCTTGAAGAAGAATGGAAAGTGATGCATTTGGGCTTTTTAGACCGTTTGTAACTAAATTTGTACAGAAATCCTTCTGTGAAATTAAGTAAACCATTTTCCAGATCTTAACTGGATTGCTGTGATTTTGCAGTTGAAAAATAATTTCAAAATTTTCAGGTTTTTTGTATATTTATTTTTTTCTAACAAATATATTTAACTATATAATTAAAATTCAGTAGTTAAACTCTTCATAACGCAGAAATGGATGGCTTGGTTGTATAGTAAAATGAGTCAGTTACACCATTATTGAAAATAGTGTATATGTTTAAAATTTGTCATCAAAGTAATTTTTGCTTTTGAAGGCAACCTATTTGAAACATGTAATTTCCTGATGTTAATCTGCATTGTGTTAGAAAAAAGTAATAGTCTATAAATCCATTTTTGTAAAAAACGTGTATAATTTTAAAGTGTGTACAGAAAAAGGAAGAGCGTACACAGTCTTAGAGTGGAACATACCTCTAGTACAGTGTATGGATTAGTTCTAACTCTTCAGCAAAGAAATGAGTATTTACCATTTTACCTGCAACAAGTAATGTATTACTCTTGTTCTAAAGACACTGTATATTTATGACCTTATTTGGACATTATTAGACACTGGTTTCTTAGTAAAGCAAAAATGACTTGGATCAGATTATTTGTAATTGAAACACTTAAGATGTATTAGTCATACCAGATATATTTAGATTTTATATTTTTATAATTTAGCTTCTATGCATTGCAGAAGTTGAATTGAGAAATTTAAGTCATAACCATAATTTTTGTTCTGTTTGACCACTTGGAAAAATACCTTCTTTGAGACAGTGACACTATGTATGTATTGTTTTTAGGCCAAAAGGAAATGTTGGCAGTTGTCCTAGATGAGCAATAATAATAGTAAAAAAAAAAAATCTCAAGTTTACTGAAAATTTCAGAAATATAACCTGTTACATGCATGGAAATTGTAAATCAATTTATGTATGTTTAACTATCTAACCGTAATATTTTCTCCCTTTACCCCAACATTCTCGAGTCCCAGTTAAATCAAAAAATTATAAAATGTGGCAGACGAGCAGTTTAAACATTCAGTCTAATTATAGTCTCACAGCTCTGTGCAATAGGTACATACTTCCTTAAAATTTTATCTTTCGCATTCTGCTATTATGGCGTTGGACTAGTCTGCATATATTCATGTACTAAAGATTTGTTGGTCTTGTTTCCATTCTGCAGCTTCATAAATTTGAAGACTTACTATAAAAAACTGTCGTCCTCCTTAAATTTAATTAGAATAACTATAGAATATTTGTGCGCTTGATTGAGTCACATTCATGTCACATTCCAAGACATGAATTTGGTTAAGTTTAGTATCACTTAGAAATGAATTACGTAAGATACACTGATCAGCAAAACAGTCCTCATGTAGCATGTGTGCTAACATATAGAATTGCCCCTTATCTGCAGTGTGGTAGATTAATCAAACATTTAAACAAATAAGTAACATCTTTTGCTTATGTGATATTAGCAACATTTACGTGTTTTAAAATATGGTTTGTAATATAAATTAGTTCCACCAATTAATAGTGTTTACTTTAATTCTAGCATTCCATTTTATACATACCAACATACCTATATATATCTCCCCCAAGTGTCAACTGGAAGCAGTTTTGATTTCCAGTTTTCTATCTAATGAAAACAAATTGTTATTCTGAATGTTTTTGTTCACTTGAAATTTATTTCTGAGTAGGCTGAAAGGACCAAGGTAGTTGAGTATTTACAGGCTATAAGTGTTCTCCTTACATGCAGGAAATATATAATTTTAAAAGTCATAATAGGGGAAGTACTTTTATGTTCTCTGAATTATTCCATACTTAGAAAGTAGCCTTGACCTAATAGGTTGAGAAGTGGTTTAGTTATGTTTAGGCAAGAATTTTTTTTCTATTAAAATTGGAAAAATTTACCTTTTCCTCTCTCCCCTCCTTGCACTTCCCTTTAGTTCCCCAAATTTCCAAGTGATTTATTACATTTACTAAGAAACTATTTTCACTCCAAATGAAGTCATTTTGTACTAAGTACCCAAGGAGAGATCTGATTGATTCAGAAGCCTGTAATTACCACTTTTGACGCTCCAGAGATAAACCTTGTACACACTACAGTAAAACAATTAGAAAATATTATGGGCTATAAATATATATTTTTAGTTTTGATAGCTCTGTGTTGAGATACTTTTTAATGCAGATAAAATCATCAGGAAATTAACCTTATATGGCAGAAACCAAATACATATAGTGGGTGGCTGTGAGTTTTCTTCATTTAAAGAGCTAAAAGACTAGGTTTGAGATGATACATAGTACACATGATGCAGATGCACACATGCTCATTACTTTTGTGCTTGTTGATTAATCACGATAAACTATAAATTGAGATAAAGTACAAAGTTACATTTTTGGACCATATTAAAACTGCAAGATGGGGTCTTATTAAAGATTTTTTAGAAAACTGTTAAATCCTGTCATGACATTTAGACATGTAGAATGTAGTTCAATTTTTAAAAAGTAACTGACCTAGAGGGTTAAAGTTGAAACTGACACATTTTCAAATTAAAATTATGCTTATTTTGTACAGAAAACAATGTTAAACACAAGCAAATCTGTTGTATGTAATAAGTAACAGAGTTTAAAGACAAATTAATTATTTAGCTTTATTGAGGTTTTTGTTTTTTTCCTTCCAGAAACCTGGAGTATCATGTTATAAATGGCAGTCTCACATCAGAATAGCAGTGCCCTTTCTTTTTGTACATATTGATTGGACCTTTCTTTACTGTTATGTGGACACTTTCTATGTTAGTTTTGATGCATAATTCTTTGAATCCTTTTATACAAACTAGAATGTATGTGTAAGAATTCCTGTCCCTGCAATGTAGTAACTACAAACTTATTTTTAAATAAATAGAAAACTTGTTTTTCTAAGCTATTTTGTAGAGCCTCATTTCTTTGTTTTTTTGTGTTTTGTGTTGGTCAACATTCGAAGCACTTGGTTCTTAATTTAACAGGTACTATACCAAAGAAGCCATATGTAAATGCTGGTACATTAGTTTCCAGTGCCCTATCTATTTAGCAAAATGTTAAAATTACTAGGCAATCAAAGGATTGTGGGTACCCTAATTTAATTATAATTCCAAAATAACTAAAGGTTAAAAGTAAGTCATTTGCCTTTTAATGTATACATAAAACAATTATTGACTTGTTAACTATGTGTAAATTACTGGGTGATAAATACTTCAATATTCAGATATTTCTATTAAGATAAATTTAAAAGGAACTGTATTTTCTCAAAAGAGTGAAGTGAAATTTAGCGGCAAAAAATTGAATGATGAAAAAGATTTACTTGTTAAGCAGTTATTCAAAAAGATT